CTAATGTCATTTATCTAGTGTTTGTGTTTATCTGTTTATTGTAGACAAACAACATGTTGGAGGTTGGATGGAATTGCGTCATAACGATCATATCAAATGGAGGTTGGCGAAATAGTGGAGTGAAGCAATGCAATTTAAGTTAAAGATTCAAGTTCAAGTTTCATCCGTAAGTGTACCGAGTAGAGCTTATTGGAGATCAAGATCATAGCTTGGGTAATATAGTATAGGTTTTATATTATGTGTGTTTAATACTTCAAGCTCAATATTATACACACACACTTTTTCTTGGATTATCCATTTTTTCGTTTTATCCGCAAAAAACATTTTTCCAAACGAATATTTATATACATACATGTTTGTTTATGTGGATAAGTTGTTTTGGTATAGCTATATAAATATGAAACAAATATACATGTTCATATGCATACTCACTTGTTTCATATTATATCGTGTTTGTAAAATATATTGTATTTTTGGATTATAGACTTAATAACAATATTTTATATCATTTATCAAGTCTATAAATCTATTGGAAAGTTTTAAAATTTGTTTGAACTCATTTTGTCAAAATCAAGTTCTTAACAAGTTCATGTTCGTGCATATTTTTGCAAAACAGATGAGTTTTCACAAATGAGAAATGAAATTTAAAATTCTTTTTTATCATGTTATATTACATGTTTATAATCATTTACAAAAATTTTATTATTTTTGGAGTTTATTTTCTATGTCAAATTGATTTTACAAGATCGGGTGTTTTAGCAGTTTTTAGAATCTAGAATATATGTGTTCAAACATTTATTTCTCACAAATGAGAAGCGATATTTTAGAAATTCTTTCTATAAAATGTTATCTACATTTCTAGAAACTTCTCTCAAAATTTCATAATTTTAAGAGTTGATTTACTATTTTTAATGTATTTTACAATGCCAGCTACACAAAAATTCCAGATCTACCGATAATGTTCAAACCTGACGAGTCGACCCATAAATGCATGAGTCGACCCATAAACAGTGCATGAGTCAACCCATGAACATATGAGTCGACCCATCAGATGTTTTTTTTACCTGTAACGGCTAGTTTATGAGTCGACTCATGAACAGTACCGAGTCGACTCATAACACTGTAACGACTATATTTCCAGACTGCACTGTTTTTGAGTTTTTGGTCTTTTTGCCTTGTTTTCTCTTGGCTTTGGGGTTCCTATAAATACCCCTACATATCCTCAGTTCTATATACAACTCAAGAGAATGTTTTAAGAAGGTTTAACAAGAGTTTAAAGTTTTGTTTAGTGTTTGTTTAAAAAGCTTATAAACAATTAAGAGTTTGTTTTGTGAAAATAATTTCACAAGAGCTTAAAGAAGATCATACATCGATGTTTGAGCATCCAACTCTTCTCTCTCTCTCTCTCTCTCTCTCTCTCTCTCTCTCTCTCTCTCTCTCTCTAAATACCCCTACATATCCTCAGTTCTATATACAACTCAAGAGAATGTTTTAAGAAGGTTTAACAAGAGTTTAAAGTTTTGTTTAGTGTTTGTTTAAAAAGCTTATAAACAATTAAGAGTTTGTTTTGTGAAAATAATTTCACAAGAGCTTAAAGAAGATCATACATCGATGTTTGAGCATCCAACTCTTCTCTCTCTCTCTCTCTCTCTCTCTCTCTCTCTCTCTCTCTCTCTCTCTCTCTCTCTCTTGTTATTATAGAGAAGTTTTCCTAAACTCTATTTCTAGCAATTTATTGTTTTGTTCATAATTTTCATAAGCTAGATTTAAATTGAGTTTGGTTTGATTTAATTTGTCTCTTTGTTCACACACAACCTATTGAGCTTATTGTATTTACATTCATAGTATAATTTGGGATTGTGAGTTTTTGACTTAGAGTGTGAGTTTTCATTGTGTTCTCATCTATATTAGAGAACAATCATTTGTTATATTGTGCTTATTGTGAGATTCACTTTATATTATACTAGTACACCGAGAGGAGTGTGTGGTGAGAGACAGGGTCGCTTCCAAGAGGAGTGGTGTCGGTTGACGAACCTAGGAAGAGGTTGTATCCAAGCACTTGAGGAAGGACACGGACTAGAGACCAACACTTAGAGAGTGTGGAGTGTAGTTACATTAAGAGATTATGATCGTTAATCGGTGAGCGTTGAAAACCGATATTGTGTGGTGTAAACATTGTTCGTGTGAGCGTAGAAAACCCGGTTGTAATAGTGGAGATCTCCTCGAGGTGAGGAGCGGAGACGTAGGTCGTGGGGACTGAACTCCATGAACATATCATTTGTTTGTGATTGCATTGGCGCACTTATTTTTATGTTCATATCTTATACCGTCTTTGTATATTGCTTGTTGCTTATATTGCCCACTATCTAGTTTAGATTGTTTACCCTTGTGTTATTGTATATCCTCGCATATATCTCATAGTATATCTCATTGCTAGAATATTTCCCTTTGTTCATATTGCATATTCTTGCTCATAATATATTGTATATCTATCTTGTAAGAATAATTTATTAATAAGTTTTAATTAGCATAAAATAAGATTAGATTAGCACAAGACTCTAATCACCCCCCTCTAGGCTGTAACAGCTACAACCTCTTCAGTATTGCATATAGAGTCAAGAGGTAGAAATTCAACCAGAGAGAATGTGTATGCTTGGTACCAAGCACAAAAAGTTATGCTTGATAGTAAGGTGACATAATCCCCTCTACTCATTCAAATGGTTGCATATCCCATGTACTCCTCAACCCATGTGAATGTGGTCCCCCATTAGAATGAGTGGAGGGGATTGTGCCATCTCACTACCAAGCATAAACTTTGTGCTTGGTACCAAACATACTCATATTTCTCATATATATATATAAGAGAGAGAGAGAGAGAGAGAGAGAGAGAGAGAGAGATAGAGAGAAAGAGAGAGATGGGTATGTTTGGTACCAAGCATAAATTTTATGCTTGATAGCGAGGTGTCATATTCTCATCCACTCATTCCAACTCCCAACCACTCCCCAACCCATTTGAATACGGGCCCTAGTTTCAATGAGTGGAGGAAAATATATCACCTCACTACCAAGTACAAAAACTTAGGCTTTGTACCAAGCATACTCATATATATATATAGAAACACACACACACATATGGGAACTATGAAGCCACCTTAGATTGAATATAAGGATGTACGTTTTCATGTATGAATTGGGCTATTTCAATGGATGATCCGCTCCATTCATCATGATCTAAATGTCTTAAAATATCTACAAAATAAAAATCATGATATTTGAATATTTCTAGCGCATATTTTTTATTGTCTCTTTGATTATGTAGTTATAAAACCATTAATTTTACTATCACTTTATGCATTAGTAAATACAACATAATATGCCTAATTTTTTGTTTACATGTCATCTGAATTATTTAGATCAAAATGAACGGAGTGGATAAAGTAAATTGATTGCATATAATCTAATTTTGAAGGTGTATCCTTAGATTCAATCTAAAGTGACTCCTTAGAATCGTAATTTCATATATATATATATATATATATATATATATATATTATATATATATATATATATATATATATATATATATATAATATATATATATATATATATTATATATATTATATATATATATATATAAACTCGGTACCAAACATAAATGTTTATGCTTGGTAGTAAAGTGACTCATTCTCATCCAATCATTGAAATGAGAGAACCATATTCACATGCGTGCACATGGGTTAGATAATTGAATGAGTGGACAAAAAATGGGCCACCTCACTAACAAGCATAAAATTTTCTCTCATAATATATATATATATATATATATATATATATATATATATATATATATATATATATATTATATATATATATATATATATATATATATATATATATATATATATATATGTTGTTCAAGTTCTTAAGGTAGCTGCTAAAAGAATAATGGGAATTATTGCAACAAATAGAGGACCTGTTTTTTTTCTCTGCTTTGAAAAATCACGTTAATCCTTTATATTGTGTTTGACAAATTAATACTACTTTTTTCTTAATCAAACAATTTAAATTCGTTGAACATCAAGTGTATCTAACAATAGAAGAAGCTCGACTCTTCATTTTAATTTTCTATGCATTTCGATGTATTACAGATATATCTAAATCTATCGACTTATATATGATTTACGATTTGGATCGTTGGTGTCAGCTAGCGTGGGCTTTAACAAGACAAACAAGTTCTCATACCCATTTAATATAAATAGAGAAAAAGATAAAATGAAATTAAAAAAAAATAGCGGAATGCATCGGAGGCCCACATCATTCTCCAAATATAGCGATACAAAAGAAACAGCAAAATAGAAAAGAGTTCCACGCTGTATAAGCACATATCCCGCACGTGACACCATCACAAGGACACCCTCAACCCCACGTGTTCCCACGCCCTCAATGATCACAAGACTCCAAACCCTTTGAAAAGGACTAATCTAACAAATAACCCCCCATGCATGCTATATAAATATTTTTGAACTAATCACCTTTCATTTTATCTATTGACATTTTTTCGGTTTCTTGTTTTTTAGAAAACTATAATTAACACCCATAATATTATGGTTTGGTGTCTGCAAAAATAGATGAACGTACAACAAGTATATATTTTCAGTTTCTCTAAATTGAGAAAGTTGTTGAGCAATAAATGAGAAGAACGTATAAATCAGTTTTCATTTTCTCTATAAAATTTTGCTTGTAGATGTTCAAGCTCTAGAGTCCACTTTGCACTGCAACCAAACATGAGACAAAGAAGCTGGAATCAATATCAACTTTCTAAAAAAAATTTAAATTCCTATCGTCCAAAAATTATTTATAGAAACTACTATCTCAAGAAATTAACATCTCTTTTTTTGTAATTTTAATTTAATTTCCTGTTATCAAACACATATTCAGACCAAGTTTCTTTCAAATGCCAAACTCTAGAATGTGAGTACTAACCAAAATAAGTTGAGAGATGATAAGTACAACTGAAAGTATAGACAAGAGAAATTATATATATACAACTCCAAAAAAAAAGAAAAAGAAAAGGACCATCATTTTCCCTCAAGCTTATGGCTCATTCTTTCCTTTGATTGAATCCAATCTGAGAAACTCTGCAGGGTTCTAGTATCCGCTCTATAACACCTTTGAGTAAACTCCAACAAGTCTGCCCACTTAAAATCCGGGTATTTCCTCTCCATCAAACCCGAATCCGAATCAAAACTCAAATCCAATGGTGGCTTCACAATCCTATCACCCTTTGGGCACAAGAAAAATGCCAAGGATTTCCTCTCTCTGTGAGGATTCACCACTGCTCTATGAAGGCAACTCCTGTACCTGCCATTGCATAAAGCCTGCAAAAGTAAAGGGGTTAAAAGGAAGAAAAAAAAAGGGAATAAAAACTTTGGATACTGAGAGGATGACGTACAAAATCTAGTAATGGGGACAAAATGAGCACAGCGCCCGATTAAGATAGCATCCAATCCCTCTCTATTTTGTATAGGGAAGGGAGAACGTTTGTCTTTTTGTCTGCTTTGGCTTTATTTGCTTCTGTCATCATAAATTCTTAAGCTTATCTTTGTTGTTTTCTTTTGTTGTAATTATTGGGTTTTTGTTAAATTGGTACCTAGCTTCGTCTTAGTAGACCTATAACTTGGTTGTCATTCGATCGCATGATCAATTTCATGTGCTCGTGGCGAGTAGGATAAACAGTGTGCATGTGGGATGAGAAAGGTGTACGATCCTTGCACATTTCAGAAAGAACACCGTAAAATTTTGTTTTACATTCTTACATCTCATCGAAAGAAACATTGAAGATGAACAGTTCTTAGCAAAATTTAAACTTGCTGTGTCAGTTTGTAAAATAGCATTTCCGACTCTTAATAATGGTATTTATGAGTACGTACAGATTCGTTTATTATGAGCACAACGTATACGCGTGGTTTGTTCTCAGGTCATGTTTGGCAGCTGGTACATATTTTATGAAATCTTATAGAGAAATATAAAGAAAAATAAAAACCTACTCTAGTCAATTGTACGTCTTATTATCATCTAAATTTTTTGAACCTTAAAACCGTCTGAGGCTCAAAAGTAATTTATTATCATGTGATTCTTCCGTGATATGCATGTTATTTGAAATTCAGATGACATAATGCTAATAAAATAGTTTAGAGTATATAAGTGACTACCTACTTCATATATAGTGCATACGACGTATTTGCAACTAACCCCAGTTATAACCGAACTTTCAAAATTTACATACCATGAACGTGTCACCGATATTGATAACCAGTGCATCCCTCACTGGACTAACTGACTGCCACTTTCCTTCGGCAAACACTTCAAGCCCTCTGACCTGATCTTGCTGCAATATGGTTAACGCCGTGGGGTCACAGTGGGGCCCGGTCCCCAACGCGAGCTCTGGCTCTTGGCATGGCGGATAATAGTTACATCTCACAATGCAACTCCCATCTTCGAAAAATTCCCTATATCGTTCTCTGGTCAGTCCTTGGCTCATTGCTAGGATCTCCATTATTGAAAGTGCTAGCTCGAACATAGATTTGCAATATGTTTTGTAGACCTTCCTGGCATTAGAGTGTAAAATTATAATCCTCGATCGATTTTTTATAATGCAACACATCTTTAAGATGACATCAAAACAATCTAGGTCAAATTCTACCCGACATATTTAAAGTGAATCTAAAATAGAAAAAAATTATAATTTACGCCAGGTGATATATGCTAAACTTGCCCCCTAGTTTGGTCAATGTCATGTAACTTCTGTTAGACATCTCAACCTAACTTAAGAAATAATACCATTTGAAATTGTGTAAGTGACTACACCCGCATAATACGAAAGTGATGTGTTATTTAACTCATAAAATTATATCTTTTAACAATAATAATACGTATTCATAGCAAAAATATTGATATCAAATTCGTAGAAAATATATACCCAATCTCCTCGAAATCTTTGCCTAGCATGGATAATAGTTCTTCATCCCCACCGTCATTGTATACGAAAGAGAGCGTCTCTTTCCATGGCAACCTTGAAGAGAATCTGTCAGTGTGAGCTCCCGTGTATCCCCACGTGCACCCCGGCCTCCTTCGTGCACGTAACTTTCGGTCAAGAGGAAGCTTGAAGAATCTATCAACAAGTTCAAATATGGCTTGACGAACTGAGATGTCGACTCCATGATTGATCACCTGAAAGAATCCATGGGCCGAACACGCGTCCCTGATGAGCTCGACAACATGTTGAGTTGAAACTTCGTCACCTCTGAAGAACTCTTCGAGGTTGATTATGGGAGTTTTGAGTTCTTCTGGCAATGCGTTAGGTCTTTCGGTTTGTGGCCATATGAATTGTTTGGGTATTTTTGCTTGTTTTTGGAGGAGAGAGGAGTCGAAGAAGAGGCCACCATTGTGGTCTTTTTCTTTGTTGAAGTCGAGGGAAGGGGAGAGGAGCGAGACGGAGTCCATTGAAGAGGGGTGTGTTGATGCATCTTAGGGGGGGTTTTGGAGGTACTTGTAGAGAGCGAAAAGTGTCACTATAGACGGTGTATTAAGAAGAACAAGTATTATTAATTAGTTATATTAATCGCAAAAGTCTTCTGTTTTACATTGATTCTGATGGAGTATAAACCTATAACCCTTAATTCCCACCACTACTTTAAAGTTTAGGCACAATAAAAAGATTTGTTAACATTGGTATCAAAGAGATTTTGATTCAAAATGGTCTAGGTATTGTTGGCGCGCCTTCTGGAAGCGTGCTCGACAACCAAACGAGTCGGTGAGCGATGATAAAAATCAAATTAACCAAAACAGAGATTTATGTGGTTCGGCAATTTCCTACGTCCACGGGGAGAGGATGAGAAGATTTTACTATATGAAAGAGAAATATAACAGGTTATAACTCACAAAATCATTCAAATATAACCCTAACCAAAGCTCTCAACTCCCTCACAATATCTCCCTCTCAATAACTCACAAAATCATTCAAATATAACCCTAACCAAAGCTCTCAACTCCCTCACAATATCTCCCTCTCAAAGTGCTCAAAACAATGCTAATTCTCTCCTTAAGAAACCCTAAAAACGTGGTTCTATTTATAACAAAATACAATCCCAAATAGACTAGGATTCTAAAAACGAGTTTGCCACACCAGGGTGTGGCGCAGACCACACCCATGACCCTAAAAACGTGGTTCTATTTATAACAAAATACAATCCCAAACAGATTGAGATTCTAAAGCCACACCCGGGTGTGGCAGACACCACACCCGGGTGTGGCAGACACCACACCCCTGAAAAATATGATAGATTCTGCCACACCAGGGTGTGGCAGACACCACCAGGGTGTGGTAGAGCATGTCTTGCCATACCAGGGTGTGGCAGACACCGTCAGGGTGTGGTGGAGTACCTGTATTGCTTATTTTTCACGTTTTTCTCAATTCCTTCCCCGTTTTCATAATTCTCCAGCTCGGCGAAGTTTTCCCAAAACCGAACCGACACCAAACAAAGAGCACCAATGCGTCATCTCTCCAAACTTCAAATTGTAGAGAAAAATTCAAACTTTGATAGGATTGAGAAATTACCCAACTGAACCCTAGATTGGATTTCAAATAGATCTCCTAACCACACAATGAAAGCGAGATCCCAACGGCAATTCTGCAACGCTATCTCCACTGAAGCCTAGAACTCTAAGAACCAAGCTTCCACAATGAATCTTCCTCCACCCAATACCAAAACCCTAGATCTTAAATCTGAGCTCTGATACCAATTGTTGCGCGTCGTGCGGAAGCGTGCTTGACAACCAAATGAGTCGGTGAGCAATGAGAGAAGAAAAGCAAACCAAATCATGAGTGCAATCCACCAAATACGACAAAAATCAAACCAACCACAAAAATCAATTCTTTTTTTCAATTCCTTCGCTGTTTTCACAGGTATGTATTTAAAAACGGATGTAAAAAAGGTTTATCACCGTGTAAAATAGTAGTCCAATTTTCGGTCCATGAAGTAAGGCACTCAACATGCAGAGGAGACATGTTGGATCATAAAATTATAAACATATAACTTTCATCTTAGCTTCACAGTTTTGTACAATGAAAGAGATCTTTAACGAAATCAAGGACAAAGTGAGTTCAAAGAAATATTTGCTTTAGGAAAAGTACTTACTGATTTGTGTCTACTGGACAGCTAGTGTTCGTGAAGAAGATGAATTATTAGAACGATGTACTAATTCAAAATTTTCTTACTCACTAATCCAAAATCTTCTTTCATAATGCGTTAAGTGTTTGGTATATTGGAACACTAAATAGTCTTAGTTTGCGGAAAGAGACGAAGGAACAAACAGGTAAAAGTGAGTATGAGATTGTGAGAGAGAGCAGAGAAGCAATTTGGAGCAAAGACCAGCATGCTGCCAAGATTTGAGACAGATTCCCATTAGTTTTTTTTCCCCCAACTTCCATTATTTCCGAAACATACCAATTGTGTACAGTGGCACTTATGCGCATATTAGCCTCTGTCTGTACTCCCCTGTTCCTGCTCTGTTCTCATGTTTTTATCATCGTTGTTGATATTATTTTTGTCTTCTCATGGCTTTTGTACATATATTGCTTAGTAAAGTTTGCAAGATTAATGCCAGAGAATATGGTTTGCTTTGTCTCTTTCCTTACTTTTTACTTGGCACGTTGAATGGCTCTATATGAAGAGAGAAAATATTTCTCACATGAAGTTTGGAGAAAAAGACAGAAAGAAGAGAACCCATACCTTTTTATGATTTTTGTGGGAACTAGAAAATGAAGGGAATACAAGAAAAATGGGCAGAAAATACATTTGGATGCTTCACGGTCAACCGCGAATGGCATGGCGGTCGATCGCGAACGTGCACAAAACAGAGAATTTAGATTGTACTGAGCATATTGAGAGGAAGAACTTGTGAGCAAGTTGAGAGATTTGGTTTATGGTTAGTATGAGTTATTTTGTGATATTGTAATCCTTTGTACTCTCCTTGATTTAGTGGAATCTCCTTATCCTCTCCCCGTGGATGTAGGCAAATTGTCGAACCACGTATATCTCTGTGTTTGGTTTAATTTGTCGTATTTGGTTTGAATTGTGCTCGTGTGTGGTTGGTTCTCTTCTCCCGTGATCACAGATTCGTTCGGTGTGCGAGCACGCTTCCGCATAGGCGCGCAACAGAAAATGTTCATGATAAATTTAATTTCTTGGTTAGATGCATAAAAATTCAACAGAGGACCATGAAAATATAAGAATCATCAGATCTAGGCTGCTTGGTATGCGTCAACAAATTCTGCAGTTTTTCTTACAAAATGAAAATCTAATTACCATTTTTAGTTATCATGTCGCATGCATTTTGAAATTAAAATATTTAAAATAGAATTTTGACTGTGATACTTGTCGTTCCAGCTCTATTTCTCGTGAATCAAAAATAAAATTCTTTATTTGAAATGGTTTATAGATAATGTGGTATGGATAGGCACCATATGGGGTGAATGAAAAGAGCATTTGAGGCCGCTCCACTTCAAGATTTCGCCAAACCCCCCCACCCCCCCCCCCCCACCCGCCACCCCCACCACAGTTGTTAGAGACTGGAATTATAGGAAACGGGAGCTAACATGCACTAGATGTAGGTTCACTGATTTAGACTTCATTTATGGCTAAATTCCCAGACTAGTTACATCCCTCTTATCAGTTTAGGGGCTGTTTGTTTGCGCAAATAAAGAGAGAAATGTGCGAGTTGAAATCTAACCCTTTAGTCACATAGGATTTTGGTTTCAAGATATTTCCAATTCCAGCGTTTGCTTTGTTGGTTGATTTAAAGAAAAGGGAGGCTGAAATGGGATGTCACGTTAAAATTTGGAGAAAACCTATTTCAGAGCTTTTGGGTCTGAAATAGGTGAGAATATCCTGTCAATAAATTTAATATTACTCAAAGCACTATTGAAATAATGACCGGAAGTAAAGGGTATTATTTAATGTCCCGCCCCTGAATATTTAATTGGAAAATTCATGGTATTTCTTAATTTTTGGATGTTGAAACTGTTGTGCGCAGCGAAAATTTCGGCAGCACCTCCGGTGCGCAAGGTGCACAACAAGAGATTAGATCACAATGGAATTCTTGTTTCTCAAAGGGAACAAGAACCAAAAGCCAGATATCTCATCAAAGTGAGATATCAGCTCTTCCTCTCGTCAGCTCTAGGACTGCGCGTCGAGGGATCCTACAAGCTATTACAAATCACAGTAAGAACACAACTTTTACGTGGTTCGGCAAATAGCCTACGTCCACGGGGCAAGGAGGGGAAGATCTACTATTAGAGGGAGAGATACAACTAGGGTTTACAATCACTCAATCTAAACCCTCAAACAAACTCTCAGATCCCTCAAACAAATATCTCTCTCAAAGGGATGCACAAATCAAAGAACAAATACAAAAAGACTTTGCTTCTTCTCTAGCCACCAAAATCTCTGTTCTTTGCACATAAATCAACCGTAAAAACCTTTGCTGTACTGCGCACGAATCAGCCACATCCGCCCACACAATTCTCCACCTCGGTGAAGTTTCTTCCAAAAATTGAGCCGACACCAAAGCATCCAAATGTCCCACTTGTTCGACAACAAGTCGGGAACCTGAACGAGAGTCCAAACAATCTCACCCCATCAAAATCAACTCACCAAACCGGCTGCATCATAAAGACTGCCTACGTATCCTCTTGCCCAAGGAATCAAGCCGTCCGTAGTTCATCCAAATAGCCTGCAAAGGCCTCAACACCGAAGAATGTTCAAAAGCTCCAAACAATGATCAAACTTTACTCCTGAAATAACTTTGGTCAACATATCCGCAGGGTTGTCCTTCGTGTGGACCTTCTCCAATATGACGTCTCCTTCATCCAAAACGTCACGAACAAAATGGAATCTGACATCGATGTGCTTCGTACGCGCATGATAAACCTGGTTCTTCGCCAAATAGATAGCTGACATGCTATCACAATATACCCGAAGGGTCTCCTGTGCGATCCCCAAGTTTTCCAATAATCCCTACAACCACAAAGCTTCCTTCACAGCTTCAGTCAACGCCATATACTCTGCCTCCGTAGTAGAGAAAGCCACTGTAGACTGAAGTGTGCATCTCTAACATACCGGTGCTCCTGCTAGTGTAAACACATATCCGCTAGTAGACCGGCGCTTGTCCTGATCCCCAGCATAATCAGAATCCACATAACCAATACAATCCTGTCTGTTCTTCTCATTCTTCTGAAATACCAAACCAACATCCACGGTACCTTTGATATACCATAGAATCCACTTCACGGCCTCCCAATGACCCTTCCCGGGGTTGTGCATGTATCTGGATACCATGCTCACGGCCTGTGACAAATCTGGCCTTGTACACACCATCGCATACATCAAGCTACCCACAGCATTGGCATATGAAACTTTGGACATGTATTCACGGTCCTCAAC